CCGCAGAGAACAGAGAGTTTGTTCTCTGTTTCGATGGAACCGGATATAAATTTCGCGGAGACGAATCAGACAGTAATGTCCTCAAGATCTACAGAGTGAGTAGTTAAATCATGAGCCAATCTCGTCAGGCTACACTCACATTAATCGAAGATGCTAAACCGCCATGACCCTCGTCAATTTCATTTTTATCAGCCGGGGTTTGGGACGCATACCACCTCGATCTGGCAAGCCAGTAAAGCCAGCACTAATCGCCTGAAGAGATGGTTTACGAATATGAAGGACTCCGCGGCAGGCACAACATTTGACGAGCATGTCATTGACGGTTATAGATTCCTCATGCGCTTTTACAGCTCCGGAGATGCCATATACATATTTGGTTTCAGTCGTGGAGCGTATGTTGCTCGCATGCTTGCGGAAATGATAGACCATGTTGGTCTGCTAGAGCCAGGGAATGAAGGGAAAGTACGCTACGTTTGGATGACCTTTTCGAAGTGGGCGAAATGTACCAACAGCGTCGACACTGGCCAGACGGAAAAAGATGATTTATATAAGTACATGAAAGCCCTACGAGAGACCTTCTGTCGTCCTGTATCGCAGATTCGTTTTCTCGGATTATTTGACACCGTCAACAGCATTCCACGATTTGAGGTGAATCGCAATAAATTTTTGTTTCCTTTCACGGCAAAAACCTCGGCTAGAGTAATTCGGCATGCCGTTTCTATCGATGAGCATCGTGCCAAGTTTCGACAGGATCTGATTTCAGATTGCAATCCTAACAGGCCGTCAACGCGGCGCAAGAAGCAGGACCAGCCAGAGCAACAGGGGCGTTGCACAGGCGAGGCGTTCTATCGACCAGCCCCCGCTAATGCGCTCTCCGAAGCTAAGGATGGTCTCCGTGACGAAAGCCAGAACACGTGTCAGGGTCAGGACATCGAGGAGGTGTGGTTCGCCGGATGCCATTCGGATATTGGTGGCGGATTAAAATTGGATGACGATGAAGCCATAGCACTGAGCCATGTGCCATTAGTGTGGATGGTGCAGGAGGCGCAGCGTGCGGGGCTTCACTTCGATCGCGAAAAGATGAAGTTCTTTCATTGCCTCGATGACCCAGCTGCCTATAGAAATCTTCCGGGTCAACCGGAGCCAAGCACTGGGGTCCAAACCAATGGAGATTACGCAGGTGAGAAAGGGAACGAATTCGACTTTAAATCCGCACTCCGAAGGGCAACTACAACCGGACATGTACACGACTTCCTACAGTATGGCCAAGGTGTCTCGTGGCCCACCGCTTTAACGTGGAAAGTTATCGAGTATCTTCCGTTTCGGAGATTGGCATTGCAACCCGATGGGTCTTGGAAACCCGTCCGGTGGCCTCTCCCTCTTGGGGAGAAACGTGACCTTCCAAAGGGAGCTAAAGTTCATGGCTCAGTCATTCGCCGCATGAAGGCCAATCAAGACTACAGGCCGGAAAATCTACTCAGAGACGGAAAGGGGAAGAATAAGCGACCTTTGGAGAGTGGAATCAGCGCGTGGGAGGTGCATGCCTATGAAGGCTGTCCAGTGCGAGAGACATACCGCCGAAAGTCGAGCGAAACTGGCTAGACTGCTTTCGCTTTCTATATTGCATATCTTGCCATGGACAAATAACGCATGAGTCACGAGTTCTGCTATGGCGGCAGCGAGCCGATTGCAGGACGAGACAGCACAAGAATGGAAGAAGAGGGCCAGGTCCCAACACGCAGAATGTGCTTCAGATCCAGGCAGAGACTGGGCTCGCAGTTCTGATTCCACTGGCATGGGGACGGATGAATGACACATCTTTCAACAAAGACCGGGGCCTACACCGTCACATTCCATCTGCCCACGCAAGTAGTTGCATACTCTCACCATATCAAGGGTGCGTGCCTCCTTGAACCGGCATCTGCTTGAATGGTTCGCAAGCAGCATATAAGTCCATCTGTCCCTCAATAGTGTCCGGATCTTTTATGACGCGGTGTGTGGTTCCTTGTTATGGTCACTTGGCGCGAGTGAATATGCGAAACTGTGTACTTCGAAGGAATCAAATAATGTCAAGGCAGGGGCAGATGGATTTGAACTATCTAGATCTCAAGAGTTTGGGTTGGATGGTTGGAAAAGGTGGTGAAAGACCTATAGGGAAGAAGGAGCAGCCGACCCTGCCTTGCTGCAGTGAATGTCTCAATATCCCGAGTATGCGATTCCCCTTCAGAGCTATCGTGATCTCTTGTCTAAAATGGTAAAAATAACGTTAATAAGGGATCTACATGTCTTCATATTCCATCATAGACAAAACAAACTCAAATACCCACCCGACCAACTCCGTCTTTGGGAACATAGCGTACAATTCTCTCGGCAATTTGGATTGTTTTTGCGTTTACTACAAATCACAAGGACCTATTTGGCCTCTGAACTTTCTACTGAATGATAACAGAATAGGAAAAAAAAACAAAAACATACAACAGAAGGGATTCGCTGGTGGTCACCCACCCAACTACTAACCTCCCGGCGTGTGGCTTAAGTACGGCTGAGCGGACGGGAAGCCCTGTTTTCCACACCCTGTGGTCGTATGTGCTTGGTTATTAACGGAGTATACTTATGTAGTGCGTGCAGCCAATCAATAATTTGTTTTGGGTGGATAAAGCCAAGACTTCCGATCTCCTCCAGATGATGGATGTGAAGCGGATACATGTGTATATCGCATGGTGTAGTGGCCCAGAAGAGTGACGAATACTATGAACGAGAATAGGAAAAGGATCATGATGAAACTACGAGCAGTCGAATCAACGCCATCTAGAAAAGTGGGTCTGGGTTCTCTGTGCAAAACATTGTGCTTGACTTCGCTTAGATTTGCATCTCATATATAAATTTTCGGTGTCCTCAGAGAACACAACATGCTGTGAGTATCCCCGATACTTCAAAAAAAATAACTAGCTTGGGTCTTGGGTAATTATTGTACCAAGGCTTACCTGAATAGCATTTTTGCAGTTCGATATTGGTGAAATTCCAAGATGATGTGATCTTTGATATAGTATCTATGGCACTTGCAAAAGTAGCCACAATCCAAAGATACCCAGCACCGGCCAGGAATACAATGTGTTGTAAGTCATCCACTAGAATAGCGGAGTATGGGAGTACTATACTATCATAGGATCTCCCTGCTCCATCACTACCCAGCAGCGACGTAATGGGTTTCTGTAGATTCACCACGGTCATTTGCTGCCTAAGAAATATCGGGTGATTGGCAATACAACACTATAGGCGGGTGAATGACCTCATCTTAAGCCGTTCTTATGTGTTAATCAAAGGATGTTGCTCTTTTCTAAGATAGTGAATTCACTATCATGGTTATGGAGGCATCATTGTGACATGATGATGACCCAAAATTACCCCCAAGTTTGTGACTCGAACACTAACACCTTTCCTCGCTACTACTTCATCAGTCTACCAGATAATAATAAAACTGCACTCATGGAGAACATACCTCTGCTCAGCGGCAAAGGCCATGAAAGATCAGTCCCTCCTCGGCGAAGGCAACTCGCTGGACTCTTTGACAACCTGTCCATCTCCCCCGTTACGAGCACAACAACATCTGCCAGTATGCGAAGCGCCATCAGCAGTGCCTTTACGACTCGTGGCTGGCCTCCCTCTACATCAAATGCCTCACGTGTAAACGAAAGCCGTCTATTCTACACAATATCCATGGACTCGTCTGCCCGGGCGTACATTTCCCTCGATGACAATCACCCGAAGGACCTGTTCAAAAAAGCTACAGATTTTTATAAAGTCATCCAAGAAAAGCTGGAAGAAAAGGGCAGTGTTGGCACTGCACTCATCAGTGATACTTTGACACGATATTTGGGTACCGTGATCTTCGGCAGCAACTACATTGAACGTGCTGGCCTCAACCTGGAAGAGACCAACAAAATCTGCGAACGTATCTTTCGAGGAGAATTCGTGAATTTAGAAAAAATACCTGAAAGGTAAAAATTTCTAAAGATAGATACCCGTTGTGACGATAGCTAATCAAGATGTGCGCTTCTTCAGAGAAACAGATTACGAGAAGAAACTGATCGAGGCGATCCAGTCTAAGAACCCAGCATCTCATATCATCCGAAGCCGGCGAGAGGTAGTTCAACATGCGTTAGCACTGAACTATTTGATAAATGAAATGGTTGTCAAGGACAAACCGCTTTCCGAGGACCTGATCCTTCGTACCCACAGGATTCTGACGGAGTGTATCGATACAACTGGAGGCATCCCTTGGACGGAATACTCGGGCAGGTATAGAAAGGTACATGTTCATGCCGGAAATACGAATTTCGTTTCGCCTAGATTTGTCCCAGCGAAGATGAGAGAGCTGGTTGCCGAGTTTGAAAGAGATATTCATAAGATTGAATCTACCCATATCCTTGATCCGTTCACCTTGGCTGCCAAATATTGCCATGAATTTGTCATGATCCATCCTTTTACGGACGGTAATGGAAGAATGTGTCGATTGATCATGAATGCAATACTGTTAAAGTACGCCGGGATCGTGGTCTGTCTGGGTGAGCACGATGAAAGCCGCCTACAATACATCGACATTCAAAAGCGAGCTGGAGAACGTATGGAAGGCTCGGGAGAGCTTGCTGCATTGATTCTGAAAAAGTCAGTTGCTAGGTTTCGAAACATCAAACAGAAAATCAGCGGAAAGAAGCAGGGCTGATGGTTTTCTCTTTTTTTTTTTTTTTTTTTTTTTTTGCGTCTTTCGGACTTTTACTTTGCTGGGCACATTATGCAGTTTATTATCCGCGGTTAGGATTACGGGTGACCTTGAGTGGGGATCGATAGCTTGCTTCCACAGCCAATAACTGAATTATACTTATGAAGAAACTACCTAGTTCAGATAATAACTATCCGGTGACTTCAATGGCTATGCTCACGATAAACACAGCAGCAGGCCAGTCTGCCACTGTGCGTTACGCAAAGTACCACATATGCCATCAACTGTCCCGATTGTTGTTCAAGTTTTCGACTCTCAGGATGTACCAATAGCAAAGGCCATATGACAAATCTAGAAAGAGAAACATCCCCACCGACCACAAAATCAGAGGATTGTCCAGCCAGGCAAATGCCTCAGGCCAGTACCTCCAACGTAACGCAGCCATACTCACTAAGCTAAGAGAACCAATAAACCTCGATATCCTACAAGTGATATGGGTGTCAGCTTCGCGCAGGATTTAGACCATGTGAGGTGTTTTACCACAGAAGATTCGACGCCCCACGACTACTTCCCCGACATAGCAATTGACACAGGCCACCGGTGCCGAGAAGCAATCGGCAGAACGCCGCACTCTATGTATATGCAACTTCAGGACCAATGTATGCCGCAAAAGCTATATGTCCAGTCAGGAAGCCAAGAGTACACACGGCAAAGATGTACCGAAGGTTCCGTTGGACCAAGGGTGCGTGGGACCATTCATTGGGTGAGTGTCTCATGGCGCTGTACATGATCGCGACGTTGACTATAAGCGCAGTTGCCGTAACGATCAGTTCCAATCGATTTTTTGGTGGGTATATTACTCCGTAAGAAATTCCCAGGCAATGTTGCAACAGAGAGGCATAATGCCCATTGCGTATGTCTTCTCTTTGAAAGAAATATGGATCATGCCAGCGTAGTTGACTAGCCAGCCCAACGTCATGGCCAAGGTGAGGATATTGACAATGGGCTCAACGGTTTTGTAAGCCGCTGGAGCTTGAGTAGCATCAAAGCCGTCCATGGTGTTATTCCATGATTGTGGCCGCAGTGTCATCAGTTCGCAGCGATACTTGCGACTGAAATATAGCCGTGGACTTGGTTCGTTCTTAAATAACGACAGCGCCCAAAAAGGCGATGCGCAATCTTATTAGCCTGGCAAACCGCGGGTTCTGCAGCGTCAGGGGTAAACAAACATGTGCGGACAGCACTTCCGTAGTTCCCGCAAATGAAAAGCAATTTACTCGAAAATTAAGTACCGGACCGAGAATTAGCACATAGTAATGAACGAATTGCGGGCTACAGGGAGCAAACAGTCCACGTGTAGTGTGGTTGTTGTGTTTGTCACATACCCATGGCCTCCGCTTGGTCGAATGTTGCCTGGGCCATTTCTCTGTCCATATTTGGCAGGAGCAGTCTTATCATAGGAATTTGTCATGGCCATGGATGGATTGAGGCACCTCCTTACCCAAGTCAGGGTAGGTTTGATTTCATGTTAACCCGTGACGACCTAGAAAGGAGGAAGTTACATCACGGTATGGAGCTGAGCTACGACCTGCGGCATATTTGTGCGTATCGAGTCTAAATCTCTACCCATGGCGCAAGACTGTAAGTCACAATATCTGTGAGCGTTCGTGTGAAGGATTATACCACACAATCCCACCACTCCTTGACAGACAGTAACATTGTTGTGCTGCGTACTCCACAATATCCTGGATCCAACATTGCATACTTCCAGGACACATCACATTGGCTCCCGAAATAGTCAGTCGGAGCCACAGATGTCAGTCGCTCTAAATTTGAATATCTTACAAGGCTGGCAGTCCACAGTATAGTAAATGCTACTGTCAGGATGACCAGGCTTTCTACACAGGCGTCTCCTCGCGTTACTATACATTATGCGCAACTTCACTTGCCAGTCTAAATGTTCACGACTGGGTCATTCAGGTGTCAATAAATGGGAAGAGGCTATTCACGCATGTCTGAAGCTGTGGGACGCTTACATAGTAATGTGGTCTACCGGTACCTACAATTCCCTACATTTCAGTGCAATTGCGTGTTTTCGCAGGTTCTAATGGCCGATGGCATGAAAAGATGCGGTGTGACCGGAGCCTGACCAGTTTGGCGGTAACTGCCTCCCGAACCTTGTCATCACCCGTCCGTGGCCGCTCCCTGCAAACAGCAAGACAGATGCAATAAAGATATACACCGCTTGACTAACTCTTTCTTACACTTTGGAGAGGCGCTGACGTAGGGAATAGTCGACAAGGCACCTGATATTGACTCGCTGCACCTCCGTATAGCGTATATCAGCTGGGAGAATCAAATATTAGGTACAATGGAACAGAGTGTGGAGGGACCACTATAGATATGCACATAAAGAACGTTTGTTGCACCGTGCATGCAATATCTGTGCTCCTTGTAAGACAATTATCATTATCATTATTATTATTATTTTCAACAAATAATCCCTTTTTGGTGGTGGGAGGCGGCTATTCTGCATGGAGATACATCACTGTGAGTAAAAGCGAGTCGACGAAAATGATGAATCGTTTCCACTAGAGTACAAACTCCCTCCGGCCTGCGTGATCAGTATCTGCATGTCAGTTTCTCTATGTTGAATTATATTGACCGTTAGCTTTGCTCCCTGTTCACTAAATAGCACTGATTACCGCCACAGCACTGTTCTCAGTGGGCGGATGCTTGATCCTAACTAAATATTCTGCTCCCTGGCACGTGCATAGACAAGGTATGCGGTATCGGTACTCGCCTGCAATGACTCCATGTGTGTGTCACTTGTGGACGGATTGCTTAATTGGGAGGTGCTGCTAGGTTTTATGTTAAGCGCGAAATTACTAGCAAAGCAACGAAAACAAGGAAAAAGCAAGCGAACGAACGCGAATTGCAGCAAAAGAGTGAGTTGAATTAGTAGCTACCTAGGTGGGCGGCCTGAGCGCCGGGCACGTGACTACGCCTACTCCGGCAGATGCCTCAACATTCTAAAGTAATCTTGGGTTAAGCCAGGCTTGTGCGATGCGGAGAAGGTATCTGACCACCCGGCCCGCCCTATCTTCTTGTTCAGATTTGGCGCTGGACTACACTCGGTGGCAGAATATGATGTGTGTCGCATGGTAAATTAAGGGATTGCTATAAAGTACCAATACTCAATACATGTCAACTCAACGGCTATCATCCATGGCGGGGAAACTAGGCTATCACGAGTATCCCTACTACTTTGACTACATTATCCTATATATAACAAGTTCACCACCCATTTCACGAGAACAATCAGGGATGAGGATGATAGTGATTTTTGAGCATAGTAGTGTTGCTTACGATTCGAGTTATGTGCTGTTTATGTCGAATTACAAGCAGAATAATGTCTACCAAAATGTGAACAACAACTTCGAGCGAATACATGGAGTTCTGAAGATGTGGAGGGGCAGTTCAGATTCTGGGGGCTGCGAGAACTCTAGGCAGCCTTAGCATTGATTGTGGTACTAGATGCAAGAGACATGCACAAAATCTTATCAATTGGCCTGCTGGCCCAATGGTAAGGCGCTTGACTACGGATCAAGAGATTGCAGGTTCGAGTCCTGCGTAGGTCATTCTTTTTTTTTCCCTGCCCGACTTCAGTCCTGAACGAAGATTTGGCGAAAGCCGGACTCCAAAAAGCATATTAGTTGGAATCACAATCCGCGTAAACGCAACAAAAAGTGATGAGTCATAGATGTTCGAAAGCATTCATCGCAATACGAAGATAATATCGTTCTTACAGGTTTTGCGGTCTGAGACAATCTGCAATGTATTGTGCGGATGCTCATCGACCACCATGTACGACAACATGTTCTCATTTTGCTGATATCTGAACTTTTTGGTTAGCTGATAGCTTTGCATATTGCAAGATATGTCTGGACCTACACGGCTTGCAGATCATACAGCATTGATCTCACCTTCAACTGGCCAAATATTTTATGGTGGCTGAAAGTTGCATGAGGGAGGAGCTCAATGGTCATGTCGTCATATTCCTAATGCCCGTGCTCGTCTCATGCAACATGAAACAAGCTGCAGACAATTATTGGTTTTACATGTGAAAGACATTTCTTATAATATAAAGAGATCATGTCTTCTATTTAAACATGTGCCATCTGGCTTATCTGTACAACAACACCTGCTACCACCTATACAGATTCAAATACGTTTCCATTTGCTTTTCAAGCCCTCCCACGAGGAAGGATAGCCACTAAACCATGGCTGTTGTGGCGGTTGTGTCTGGTTCTGGCAACTATGTACTGCTTGGTGCTGCGGTTGTCATATACTGTCTATGGTATGCGATGATACGGCAGAGTAGTAGACACGTTCGTCGTCGAGAACCCCCCTTGATTCCCTACTGGATACCAGGCAAGTAGCCTAGCCCCAGCCATGTTAAGCTGCCCTTCTTCAAGTCGTTGCTAACTGTATTCAGGCGTCGGCCACACAGTCTCATTCCTAAGAAATATCGAGAAGACGATAAATGACGCACGGTAAGGCCCCTCGAAAGCGAGTGCGCCAATTAAAATTCTAACCGAGCTGCAGGCTATATCAAGAATATGAAGATAGCACCTATCGCCTTCGAGTTGGTGGTCAATCACTATATGTGATCCAAGACGTAAAACTGATATCGGAGGTCCACAAGCAAACTAAGTTTATGGGCAACGACCAATTTCTTGACATATTGATGGCAGCATCTGGTATCTCGGGCCCAACAAGAGCTCGCTTATGGTCTTCAATCACTGCCGAAAGGAAAGAGCATATCCCTCGCGCGATCACTGAGAACGTACGAAGAGCTCTGCGAGCACAACCTCAAAGCAATCCTCTCACTCTGAAGATACTTACACAAATGGATAAGACGCTTACGCCTTTGGCTGCCTCTGATCCGCTGAGAAGATCTGTTTCCGCGCCAGCAGAGGTTTCACTATTCAGGTGGATCATCGATGTCTTCACCGTAACCGTCAGTGATGGGGCGTTTGGGAACGTGTGTTTAGACAAGTTCCCAGAGGTGCTAGATAACATGTTTTCTCTTCAGACGAATGTGTACGCCATCTTTACGAGGCGGCCGAAAATTCTCGCACCAAAAGCTTACGATGCCTGTGACAAGTTATCAAAGATTCTTGCCAGATACTTTGCCCTGCCCAGGGAAGACAAAGTGGGCTGCGCAGATTTCGTGACTAGAGCCGAAAACGAAATCCGCTCAGCGGGTGTTTCACAAGAAGAGTTGGCCATGATGTATGTTTGGATTTATTGGGGGTGAGTTTACAATCCCCTCATTGGGACTGGGAACAATACTTGAACCGTCACTAATTCAAACTCAGAATGCTCGACAACCCATCCACTACCGCATTCTGGTGCTTGTGCCGAATGCTTTATGACCCAGGGCTGTTATCTGCGATACGGAAAGAATGCGAAGAGGCCTTTTCGAGAAACAGCCCTACGACATCGGCAGACATCCCAGTACAGCTGGAGTGCTGCCCAACTCTCAAGGCCACTGTTACCGAAACCCTACGCCTCCATTCTGGCACCCACGTATTCCGCCATGTTTCAGAAGACACAGAGATTGGTCCTTACTGCCTAAAGAAGGGTTCTACTGTTCTCATCCCCTATAACCGCTTACAGGTCAGCAGAACCTATTGGGGTCCGGATGCAGAGGACTTCAATTATCGACGCTTCCTGGACAATCCTGAACTGGCACATTCTAGGTATTTCAGACCTTTTGGGGATGGCATTCATCAGTGTGGTGGCAAAGCAATGGCACCTCAACTTGTAATGTACTTCGTTGCTATTGTTGTGTGTCGGTACGATGTGGGTATCAGTGGTGGGTTTGAAAGTCATCCATTCCCTCGAATTGATTTTCCGAAAGGAAGGGCCACGGTACCAATGCCAGTGGCTGGTGATGTGCCTCATGTTACTCTTACTCCGAATAAAAGAGCAGCCTGATCCTGAGCTTCAAGACCAGTGTTTGAAAACTTTGTTGTGTTCATAGTTGCTCTGGTCATGACATTTTTCAGATACAATGCAAGCCTTGCTCTTAATCATTCAATCATAACCTCCGTGGCTTCGTTCGCCCTTTGCCTCATATATCTATCTATCTATCCATCTCTGGGAAATGAAAATGGCCTGAAATACACGTCTGTGATCCACTAAAGCGCATTGGCACCTCCCTTCTCGTTCCTTAAGCCCTGGTCAGTTCTATTTCCAAGCTTCGAGGAATGATTTCTCCGAACCAGCGAGCCAGGAATTTACATCTAACGGATGAACTAGATACTGAACTGTAACGATATAAGCAAAATGCCCAAGATTTCATAGCAGTGTTCATGGGTCTCTAGTCAGTCTGTCGACCGCCCTGAAATAATCACAAGCCTCTGACATTTCATTGTTGAGAGCAGCGATATATGAGATAAGTTATCCGGCGCTATGGGCTCGATTTTATTTGCTGGGTAGAAGAGAGCAATGAATCATTTCTCTTAGCATAATGGATTGGTGAACTCCTAATGTATATACTGTTGATGTTACCCTAAGATCAATGCAGTTCTATTAAAGTCGGCTGCATTCTCGGGAAACACAGTTGGATGACCGCCACACCTGTAGGATTAAATTGAACCAGTTGGACTCCGAAGCGTAAATCTGATTTTTGTGAACACGTGTCTTTGTAGCTAAATACTACTAAGTTTTTCGAGCTCAATGCTCCTCCTCCTTCTGGTTAAAGATGTGGCTTAAATTCACACCAGGGTCAAATAGAAAGCATCCGAATACAAGGACTTTGCTGCAGGTCTACCTTGATTCAATTCTATAACTCGATTTCCACGCTGCAAACCTGCTTGAACAGCTATTCTGCATACTTAACTGCACTCTTCAGCACGATCTTCACCGCTTGTCCAATCAGTCGCCGCTGCTGGGCGCAGATCATAGCCAATTTATCAGATGATCTACCTTGCATATGATCTGCGCGATCGATCTCAGGTTCCAACATGCTCATGATAAACTTTCATTGGCCGGCAATCAGTGGAGCTCGGCTTTGATAGACCTATAGCTGTCCGTAGCTGCAGAATTATTGATCGGAGAAGCTGAAGAATACTATCATGTGTGCCCATATCATGGCGACTATATCGGCTCTCTCAATAATTGCATATTTGCCTCTTCGGATTACTAAAAGGGTTATTTGAAAGCTAGGGACAAAAATCATGACTCTTCTGTTCACCGGTTTTCTCGATCACGTATCCTCGCATCTAACATAAATGTCTCGCTCACAACAGAGCTTCTGTATTTGGGGTAGAACGCCTTAATTTTCTTTCTTTGCAATGGAATCGAAGGAGTCTGGACCTTCCAGTCCCCAGCAAGACCAGCGCCATTCTGCTGCTGCTGATAATGCTATTGCTCCGCCTAATGGAGGAGTCGCTGGGTGGTCTGCTGTTTTTGCCTCCTTTCTACTCTTCGCCACAACCTATGGTTACTCCTCTGCATATGGGGCCTTCCAGGCATATTACGAGTCCGACTTATTGCGCTCCAGTCCCCCATCGCGCATCGCTTGGATAGGCACTATCCAAAGTTTTTTCATGGTCTCTACGGGCGTTTTTGCGGGGCCGCTTTTCGATCAGGGATACCTGCACTCCCTGATGATTGTCGGCTGTTTCCTAAACGTAATTGGATTCATGATGCTGAGCTTATCTACAAAGTATTATCAAGTATTCCTATCGCAGGGCGTCTGTAGTGGCATAGGCTGTGGTTTGATCTACGTGCCCGCCTTGTCACTTGCTTCCACCCTGTTCACTACACGCCGCAGCATTGCCGTTGGTCTGTTGTCGTCCGGGGCCACCATTGGTGCGTTGTCCTGATCTACAAATACTCCGATTCTGATGTAGTCACGCTCACTATGCCGGTACGCAGGCGGAACCGTCTTCCCAATTCTGTTCATCCGACTGCAGCCACAAATCGGATTCCCCTGGACAGCACGCACCCTGGCTTTTATCCAGGTGGCCTGCTCATGTGTCGCCGTCCCGCTGTTGATAACCACTACCAACCCAAAACCCAATCCGCCACGCCGGCTCATCCACTGGCATGCACTGAAGGAGTGGAGCTTCGATGCCTATGCAGTAGTGAACTTCTTATTCTTCGTGTCCTACTTCGTCCCGCTATTCCTCCTGCCTTCCTTTGCCCAGTCCGTGCTGCACACTTCAATGGACCTGAGCGTCTACATAGTGTCGATATTCAACGCGAGCTCCAGTATCAGCCGTGTCGCTTGCCCTCTGCTAGTTTCTCGTTTTGGTCCCAGCAAGGTTCTGTATACCAGCATGGCTGCCTCGGCCGTTATTCTCTTTGGCTGGACGGGCGTTCACACCGTCGCTGGGTGTGTTGTCTTTTCTGTCTTCCTCGGCATATTTACTGGCAGCTTCCTCGCCGTTACTCCGGTTCTGATGGCTCATCCGGTCATTTCGCCCACACCATCAGTCATTGGGACCCGTATGGGCATGCAGTGGTTTGCTGTTAGTTTGGGTGCATTGATCGGTGCGCCTATCGGCGGTGCCCTGGAGGGGCATGGCGGAAGCAACGGATTCCTGGGTATGCAATTGTTTAGCGCGATAGTGATGGCTTTGGCAACGGCCGTACTTCTGGTGCCAATGAGGGCGATTTGGCGACATGATCACGCCCAGCGAGAAAGTGGCGTTGTCTAGTTCAATTTTGATAACTGCAGGGATCAAATGACAATCAACGATGGTAATAAATATTCTCTTCTGGGTTTAATGTATATTGGTCTTGTTGTTTTTCAGTAGAAATATGTGTATATATATATAATAGCTTGAAGGAAAGAATGAAGAAAAACGGTCAAGAACTTAGTATGACAGGCATGAGTAGTATACTACATTTAATCCACGACTACGATGACACAAGCTGACCGCAGCAGGTGTGTCCTATATTCGGGCTTCTTGGGACACAGAACTAGCCAAATTCTGGCTTTAACAATACGCACTGATTAGTTGGTGTTGATTTTTCTGCTTCTGATTGATCGTTTCGATGTAAGGGAGAGGGAAGAAGACTTAGTCCTCTTACTACTAAATAATGTGACAGTATTTAACAAGCATGGCCGGATGGTGTAGTTGGTTATCACGTATCGTTAACACCGATAAGGTCCTGGGATCGAGCCCCAGTCTGGTCATTCTTTTTCTTTCCTCAATTTTTTTCCCCCCCTTCCCGTCAAGTCGATGATCGTCCCTGCTGGACTTCTTATTCCTCTAGACTTAATTAGACTTCACATTCAATACCACCTCACCACCGCTCTATTTACTTTGTCAAACCAGCCCAGCCATAATGAAGTAAAGAGAAAAGACACACGTGAGCTTCCTGATCTCCGCTATACAAACTCCGGCAGAACCCCCACCAACAAACCCTCACCGCCCACCCACTTACAGAAAAATGACATTTTTATTTTTAGTACACGCTTACAACCCCAGCTGAAATGCCCATCCCCTCATCATTACTCCGCATCCACACTCTAACATTCAAACCTGCAAATACAACAAAAATGCCTCTCATCTCCAACTTCCAGCTCCCCGCCTCGGCGAACCTCCTTGCGGTCCCGGCCGACAAGAAACTATTCCTTACCTTCGTGTCTTCCGCAGACCCAGCTACCGGACAAGCGTGGTGCCCGGATGTCCGTGCCGCATGGCCTAAGATTGAAGAGGCGTTTTCGGGACAGGGTGGTCCCCAGGTTGGTGTGGTTGAGGTTGGACAGAAGCCTGAGTAAGATATACCCTATTCATTTCTTCTATTATTTTCTATATAGACTTCATGTCAGTCCGTTCTTGCTAACTTCATCCGCCTTACTCTCTCGGGTTACTGTAGATGGAAAGACCCACAGAACGCCTACCGGACAAGATGGAGCGTGAACAACATTCCTGCGCTGGTGCGGTATGAGTCTGTTAATGGAGAGGTTGTGGAGACGGGAAGGCTTGTCGAGGGGGAGATTCTTGATCAGGGGAAGTTGAGCGAGTTTATTAGTTCGAGGTGAGGGAGCTGCATGTGTATTACAGGATGATGATATGAAACGTTTTAGACAGCGACGATCTATTTGAATGTGTCTTGGTTGCGGTGAGGGTGTACGATTGCATGTCACGTGCCATGTATGGTCCTGGCTAGGATAACGAGTACCCGGGTACCTGACCGGGATAGCTCAGTTGATGAGGTATGATGATAGCATTGGGTATAAGCGGTAGAGTAAAGGATTTTAATCTGGCGAATTCACGGATATTGAGTTCGGCACCGGTTTCTGAAGGAAAGTGTTGATGCGCCCTGCCGCGAACAACACAAATGATAGTTTACTGCACAGCAAGGTCGACCGAATAATGCCAATACCAGGACTTAATTACAGAGGAATAATCCGGGTGGTGAGAAGGAAATAAACAAATTCCCAATTCCGCCCACCTTTCGCATTGTGGTAAATGTTGCATGATTACCTCATCTGGGAAGTGTTCCACGGTACCATGAGACAAATTGACGTAGGGTAGGTCAAGCCACTCCTGTCTGAGGAAAGGATCGCAACCATAATCCAGTTAAGATGTGTGATTAAGGTTACATGCGCACGCGCCAGGAACTACGGGCATGTCCGAATATTAGGACGTATTTAGGGCTAATTTGGGGGTCGGAAGGGTGGAACAAGGGATGTCAATATGCGGGAAGGGATATCCTCGATAAGCATGATGCTGAAGACAGCTTAATAGAAGGGACATGGTCTTGACTGGCTTGAAGAGACAATGCATGCTGCGTTGATGACGCTGTGAGTGCACTGAGTGACATTCCAGTCTGGATGTTCTCCACATAAGAATAGGTTCCGGTTGGCAATGTTACATTCACCCTCAGCTTGACGACTTCCCTGCTGGACGTTGGCACTCAAATACCTTGGTTCAGTAGTCAGGAAAAAGAGATGGGAAAAGGAGAAAACTTCACACGAGAGGCTTAGGATTGTGTCCGTGAAAATTTTCTATATTGATTTGCTATACCTAAGGTCTTTCTATCAACCATGTCGGCCGGTACTCCTGAGCAGCGTGATCGTAATCACCAGATTATCAGCTCTTATTTCATTGGGCCCAAGGCGGGAAACCTCGAATACTTCCAGAAAAATATCCAAACTACACTGAAAGAACTGGAGAATGCTAGAAAAGCTTACTTCCCCGATGATAAAGTAAGTGGCTAAGCATAGGCCACACGACTTGTCGAATGAGGAGCTAATCCGCAAAAGCCATTCATACCAGAAGATGTAAAGAACAAAGACCTATACCAGTTGATTGTGAAGAACTTCAGCGAGGTGGTACAAAAAGTTGCGCACCTGATGGGACAGCAGTCAATTCCGTTCTGGTCACCTAGATATGAAGGACATATGTGCACCGACATGACCATGCCAGCTCTTCTGGGCTATTTCATGACTATGCTGTACAACCCGAACAATGTTGCTCTAGAAGCAAGTCCATTCACGACCTACGCGGAGATTAAAGCCGGAGAGCAGCTTTGCGAGATGTTTGGGTATGACGTTGGCCCCAATGCTTCGCCCCGGGGATGGGGTCACATCACTGCTGATGGGACAATCGCCAATTTGGAGTCTATCTGGGTGGGTAAGTATAGGCAGCCCGTGCGACTTTCGTGATGGGAGCTTACTGAAGGACTTACCAGCCCGCAACCTGAAATACTACCCATTATCGCTCTACCTTGCTATTAAGAGAGGAAAACTACAGTTCTTGACTGGCAAGTTCGAGATCGAGAACTGTCAGGGCGAGACCAGGAAATTTGATGAGATGACCGCATGGGAGCTGCTAAATCTTCGGCCTGACACCGTGCTTGGCATTCCCCAGCATCTATATGATCACCATAATATCTCCAATGATTTTTTGGACAAGGTGATGGTGGAGTACAATATCCAAAATATTAGTAAAAGCCAACTGGAAGAGGATTTCCTGGAAACTGATGTTACCAACGACGTGAAGTTCCCATTCAGGTACATGGTAGGAAAGACTCGCCATTACTCTTGGCCCAAAGGCGCCGGTAAGTGGGCCCCAATCTTTGATCGCGCTAGAGCTCACTGTGAATGGAATAGCAATCGCTGGTCTCGGCTCCGACTTCATGTATGGAATCAAAGTTGACCTAGAGGCGCGACTCGACATTGAGGAACTACGAAAGGAACTTCAAACCTGTTTCGACGAAAAGCGACCCGTGTATGGGGTTGTTGCTATCATGGGATCAACTGAAGAAGGTGCTGTCGACAACCTGAAGGAGATTGTGAAGATCAGGGATGATTTCGAGAAGATGGGAATGTCATTCTTGCTCCACGCCGATGCGGCATGGGGTGGGTATTTCGCCACCATGCTGCCGAGAGGTAAAGAGCTAGAGCAACAAGCTGAAGATCTTAAGAAACAAACGACTTCCAAAGGGTTTGTTCCAAGTTTGACCCTGAAAAGGCAAACAGCTGAGGACCTCAAAGCCCTCAAACACGTGGACTCTATTACAGTTGACCCACACAAAGCAGGTTACGTTCCATATCCGGCAGGCAGCTTGGTGTACCGGGATGGCCGAATGAGGTTTTTGGTTACTTGGACCAGCCCTTACCTTTCTCAAGGAAATGTAGACTCCAGTATGGGAATCTTCGGCGTTGAGGGAAGGTGAGTAAAGCTTTGCAGCACCGAGTCGTGTCGGCTTCTCTATGAGACTAATGTTCGCGCAGTAAGCCAGGAGCTGCAGCAATGTCGACGTGGCTCTCAAACAAAACCATCGGTCTCGATCAATACGGCTATGGAGCACTCCTTGGAGAGGCGGCATTTACCAGTGCTAGAGTAAGTAATCAAACCTCAAGTAAGGGCTAGGACCATCGGCTAATAACCACAATCTAGTTATCAGCGTACTGGGCCGCGATAGGAGATGAAAACGACACCCGTGATAGGATGTTTATCTGCGTTCCCTTGAATCGACCGCCCGCAGAGAATGGAAATGGTTACTTCTCCACAGAAGCAAGAAAAGAAAGGGACCTCATTCGAGACAAGATTCTAAGAAAGTCAAATGACGATATTGCTGCAGAAGACAAGGATGGAAAGCTAATGGAATTGCTGCGCGAGTTGGGATCGGACTTGAACATCAACGCCTTTGCTCTAAACTGGTTTGATGAGCATGGAAACCTGAACGAGGATCTGGAAGAAGCAAACAATCTCATGAAAAGGGTTGTTGACAGATTCTCTGTTAACTCTTCAGACAGTAATCCGACCACGCGACCGCTATACTTGACCTCGACGGAATTCGAGCCTGAGTTGTACGGCGAATGCGCACAAGAGTTCATGCACCGACTAGGTGTGAAGAAGATGCCGCAAAATCTATTCGTATTGCGAAATGTCGTCATGAGCCCCTTTCCTACGGATATGAAATTCATCGACGAGTTGATGCGAGAGTTTAAGAAAGTTGTGATGCAGGAGGTGATTGTCAGTCGGGAACGCAACAAACAGGGCCGTCAGCAGGCATCGTTCCTTATGCAGGGCACGGATGAGGTGTTCTTGGTTTACCAGCCCTCCTTCCATGAAGCGACTAAGAAGGAACAAATCATCGTGACCGCCGATATCTGGCACAAAGACGATTACGTGAGCTTGAAAAGAAGTGGAAAATACAAGCAGATAACGTTGGAGTCACATCACAACATCAACCTTGAAAAGAAATTGAAACTATTGGCATGGAAGAGTTCAAGGCCACTGATGACAGAAAAGGGGAAGAAAGAAGGTCAGAATAAAGATGAGGATCACAATATAGGCGAAGCAGAACCGGAAGTTCCTGAAGAAGAAACTCTTTCCTATTTTCCCCACTTCCATGACTGCCCGGATAAGCTAGATCGTCGATTGTTCTTTCTAGGACATATTTACGCAGATGGCCACAGGTAGATCGCCCCACTTAACTTTTCTTAGGATCGAAGAAGCTAACCCTAGGGTAGGAGGTTGTATACGGGTGTGACCCTGAAAAGGATTGTGAAGAGCCGACCTCTCAACCTACAGCATCGGGACCATGATTATCCCCAGAGCTTCACACCATTCTACCTTTACGGCACTGAAAATCAAGCTCACATCAGCCACATGATGCTCTGTGCCCCCAACGCGTCCCTCACGGCGGACAGCGTACACTTTGATCAAGCAACCAAAGACAAGATTAAAAACAATCTAAGCCAGGGGCTTATTCTAGGTTTAATAGACTATCCGGAAGCAGCTATGCAGCCAATTCACGAGCCTCTGCCCGATAAATTCTTCTTCCGCAAAGGCTCGCAAAATCTGCGGGTGAAGGTGTGGGAAGATCCCTTTGATGCTTGGGCAGAGGGCCCAGGCTTACTGAACAACCTTGGCAACGCCATTGCTGAAGGTACGATGAGTCTGGGTAACGAAGTGCAGGTGGATGCAGAATCTGTCAATTATGACCCTAATGGATCGGTGCCGCCTGACCCTAGCGGCTGGCAGCAAGAGTTTGATGCAATCGGAAGTGTATTGAACACAAACTGGCCGGCTGAGTTGACTGTGCGAGAAAAGGGGTTACCTAATTGATGTGAGGGACCGGTCCTTTTGTTCTCTATGCCCCCAAAGCAATACTTGGCCTCTGTTGTTGGGTCCTCTTCGCGCCGATAATATCGTCATACAAGAATCTCCACAGGTACTTACTTATAGGGCCCAAAATCAGAGCCTGATCGCTACTAAAGAGCCCAAGCCACTCTGAGTTGCCTACATCGAGCTCGAGGCTTATATATCTCAGTTAATTATAGCCAAGAACTAACGCTACAAGACAATCTTTCGTGAAGTGGACTAGAAGTATTTCAGCCATTCTCCGCATACCTTGCCACGTAGTCTAGAGAAGCGGATTCATAGGTGTTAAGCAGTCCTCAAGCCCCAAAATACGTTAAGGTTTCCCATATAAACGTGGCCATGTACTAAGAAGTAGGTTGATTGATTGTACATGAAACACCGTTCACTAAATCATGTCACAGCACTTGATGTCGCATCTATCATATCTCATACTTCATCAATATTCACGTGAACAGTACTGCACTCCTGGCATAAGTGGTCCACCCTAGCACATCTTTCCCATGGAAATCCAAAAATACATTCTAGATTTAGATTCTCTCTAATCTTATCAGTTCGGTCTCACATTGTCCTAAGCTGCCTATTAGGAACCACACCCAGAAATATCCAAAAAGAGTGGCCTGAAAGATATCTGCCATGCCCACACCACCCACCAATGAGCCCGCCCGGGTCGCCAGCATCATGCTGTCGTGGCACTCACTCGATCTCGTCTCCTGTAACACCCTC